GAATATGAGCGGATGCCGTTTGGACTCTGTAATGCGCCTGCAACATTCCAGCGCCTCATGCAAGGCATAATGAGTGATCTGGTCTTTCAAATGGTACTTGTATATTTGGATGATTTGCTTATCTATTCAAGTACATTCGAGGGACACTTAGTGAGGCTTGAGACTGTGCTAAAAAGGTTGAGGGAGGCTGGATTAAAGGTTAAGGTGGAAAAGTGCCATTTTCTGCAGTCTGAAGTAAAGTTCCTGGGGCATGTTGTATCAGCTCAGGGGGTGTCTACAGACCCAGACAAAGTGAGTGCAGTAAAGCAGTGGCCGATCCCTAACACTCTGAAGGAGCTGCGATCCTTTCTAGGGTTCTGCAGTTACTATCGAAGATTCATGGAGGGTTTCTCTAGAGTGGCAGGTCCGCTCCATGATGTGGTCAACACTTGTGTTCGCCAGGGGAGCGTTGTTCAGGCCAATAAGTTGTTCAAGGACTCCTGGACGACAGAATGCCAGCAGGCTTTTGAGCATCTCAAGGAGAAGCTTACATGTGCTCCAACGCTGGGGTATGCAGATTTCACCCTACCTTTTGTGCTAGAGACCGATGCAAGTAACCTGGGATTGGGCGCTGTGCTATACCAGCAGCAAGGGGGGAGGAAAACTGTGATAGCATATGCAAGTCGTAGGTTGAGGGGTGCAGAGCGAAATGACAGGAACTACAGCAGTATGAAGCTGGAGCTCCTGGCACTCAAGTGGGCAGTGGGGGAAAAGTTCAGGAGTTACCTGTTGGGGTCGAAGTTTACTATCTTAACAGATAATAACCCTCTGTGCCATCTCAACACGGCAAAGCTGGGCGCAATTGAACAGAGGTGGGTTGCACAGCTTGCAGTATTTGATTTTGACGTGCAGTACCGTCCTGGTCGGTGTAACACTGCAGCCGATGCTCTCTCTAGAAGACCAGGGCTAGAGGGAATGGAGGTGGTAACTGAAGATTCGGAGTACGACGGCTGTGTGGCTATTTGCAGCGGGCTCCGCACCGGGACTGCAGTGGAGGCTGATCTGTCAGGGCTAATGGAAGGGCCTAGAAATGGAGGGACAATACATCTACAATCAGCCATGGTTGAACAAGGGAATGAAGAGGGACAACTCCTGGAGAATACCCCAACATTACCTGGATACACAAAAGATGAGCTTCGTCAGTTCCAAGAGGAAGATCCGACCATCAGCACACTTAAGTGTTTCTGGGACAAGAAAAGGAAACCCACAAATCAAGAGAGAAAAGGCTTGTCTCGATCGGTGCTCTTGTTGCTTAAGCAGTGGGATAGAATCCAAGAGAGAGAGGGGCTGTTGTTCAGAGTCATCGACGATGTGTTCAATGGGGAATGCCGACAGTTACTGCTCCCTGCATGTCTGGTCAAGCTGGTGTTGCAAAGTGTCCATGACCAGATGGGGCATCAGGGCATTGAGAGGACACTGGGCCTGCTCAAGCAGCGTTGTTATTGGGTTGGGATGAGTGATGCTGTGGATAAGTGGGTGAAGGAGTGCCAGCGATGCGTGTTAGCTAAAATGCCGCAGCCGAAGATACAAGCACCTTGGGCCCCGTTCTTGGCGTCACATCCATTAGAGGTGGTTGCGATGGATTTCACCACACTAGAGCCTGCATCAGATGGGAGGGAGAATGTCTTAGTTGTAACCGATGTGTTTACTAAGTTCAGCCAGGCGTTCCCCACCCGTAATCAGAAGGCGGACACTACCGCTAAGGTCCTTCTGAAGGAATGGTTCCTTAAGTATGGTGTGCCACAGCGTCTCCACTCAGACCAAGGGAGGAACTTCGAGAGTGCAGTTATTGCAGAGCTCTGTAAGCTGTACGGGGTAAGGAAATCCCGCACTACGCCACATCACCCCCAGGGAAATGCGCAGTGTGAGAGATTCAACCGCACTCTGCACGATCTCTTGCGTTCATTACCACCTGATAAGAAGCGGAGATGGCCAGAGTATTTACCTGAGCTGGTGTACGCCTACAATGTGACTCCCCATTCTTCCACTGGTTACTCTCCATACTACATGCTGTTTGGAATGCAGCCACACTTACCAGTAGATGCCTTGTTGGGTCAGGAGACAGGAGGGGAGATAGAGCCTACCTGGTTGTCTGTCCATAAGGAACGGCTTCAGGATGCACACTCCAGAGCACGAGAGTATGCTGAAAGAAAGGCAGCGGACCGTGTTGCCAAGCGTGAGAATGTGGTGTATTGTCCAGAGGTAGCAGTGGGTCAGCAGGTGTATTTAAGATATCGTCCCCCAGGCAGGAACAAGATCCAGGATGCCTGGGCCCCCACGGTGTATACGGTGGTTGAGGTGCATGGAACAACATACACCGTGGAACCGGTTGGAGGCGGTCCAGCAAAAAGAGTGCATAGGTCAGGCATCAGGCCCTGTCCGAGACCAGTCCCTGTGCCAATGCCTAGGAAAAGAGTGACACCTGTAAAAGTTCCTACCACGGAGTTGGTAGAAGGGATGCCTGCACTGGATGCAGAATGTGTGCTTGTGGAGGAAACCAGATGGACTAAGGAGGATCCAGTGGACGAGGTGCTCGGGAGGTTGCAGCAGCCAGGGGATGATGCTGAAATAAGAGAGGCAGAGAGCAATGATGAAATGCAAGTAGATGATGAGGCGAGTATAGTCAGACAGCTCCCTCAGCCCAAAACAGAAAGAAAGGATTCAGCATTGGATGTGGTGGTGACTAGGCCAGTTCCTGTTCCCCGGAAGCCCAGGGCAGAGAGTACCCAGGTGGATGTACCCTGTCCTTCACCACGCAGGACCCAGCGCTCTACTGCTGGGGTTCATAGCAATCCAAACAGGCTGCCTAAATCAGCTTGCAATTCTGTGTCTTTCAGTCCCGATGTTCTTTCCCAAGTGTTAGCTGGAATAGTTTTGTACACATCTGGAAAACTACAAGGAGTAGTGGCTGATTAAAGCATATTTGTAGTCATCGAGGACGTTGACTGTAGGCAGGGGAGAGTGTAACCAGGGCAGGAATAGCCTGGAATTTGATTAATTTCCCTGGTGATTTGCCCTTATGTTTCCTTTCACTCAGCTTTGCGCGCTGTCCCCTTTAAGAGTGTGTGCATGCGCAGGTGAGAGAGAGCGCGTCAGACTGAAAGAGAGCGCAGTTTGAGACGGAGTCACACAGAGGGAGAAATAGTCGATTAAACTGTTAAAGGAAGAACATTTCCAGTTTAATATTGACTTGTGAATCTGTGGCGATAACAGTCGTGTGGTAGTGTCGAGTGTATGGTTGATTTAGTTGCTTATACGAGTGTGGTGTTCCTGCACGTGAGTGATTTTCCGTGGGGGAAGGGAATTCAGAGACGTAGAGGAAGATTGAGCGTGAGTTAATCTGTAATATGTTATAAAAAATTGTTGAAATGTTAAATAACACTGTTTATTTCATATATTAATGGAACATTGAGTAATTATTGTTCTTTATGCTGTGTTAGAGGGGAGAACAGCCACACGTGATATTGCACGTGCTCCAGCTACTACATGAGCTTTTTCTGTGTGCTTCAAAGTCTCAATAAGAGTGAGTTTTGATCATTTTCTTCTCCTAAAGTGTTCATGTATAAGTAATGAAGAATATTTGTACCTTTGTTCAAATGTATACTATTTTCTTGAGTGTATTTACTGTTTGATTTGAACAGAAGGGTTCAAACTGTGGATTGTAATGTATTCATGTGGTGAAATGTGCAGATTTCTCATTTATGCTGTTTTATTTCTTTCATTAGGCACATACAGGCCACTACCGTTGTTTTCGGCACCCATTTTATTTGTTTTTGAGATTATCAATGTGAAAACCCACCTTTTCTAGCCATTTTGTTTTGTAAGACTTTGTTTTCTGCACTCATTAGAGTCAGTTTGACAGTTAATTTTGTTTTGCCAATTCCACTTATTGGAAAGTTTTTTATAAAACTGCTTTTCGCCTGAACAAAAAATCTGCATTAACGCTGTGTCTCTTTTGAGTCTCAGTCAGGAATTAAAGAACCCTTTCCTTTAGATGTTATGGCTGTGTCTTATTCCCTGACATTACGTTTGAACGGCTACACATAAAACAATGAAAAGCACTTGCATACATGCAGACTATTCTTGCTTCCTTAAGTAATGGCTGAACATCAATGATTTTGAATTCCACCAATATACAGACAGAACTGCATGTTTGGGTCAAAAGACGATCAGAAATATGATTTATAAACAACATATCTACCTTCAGATTTCATTACTTGCACTGTTTTGAAGCTGATACCTTCATTGCCCCACCACTACAGATTAAAACGCATGAGTCATAGAACAGGAGGTGAGTGTCCATCTGAGATGTTTACAGAGTCACAGAGAGGTTTCCAGCACATTGAAGCATTCAGAGACAGCTGTCTCTGAAAATAGGGTCACTCAAGCATAGAGCACATACTGATATCTACGCATTAAGAAATGTGACAGTAAATTTGTAAATAATGAATGTAGAAAGCTGTATTAGTGGTCATCATAGGACACAATGTAAATCTTTACAGCACAGTTTGTTATACAGAGTATGTTCAAATACAATGTACAAATAAAAACAGCCATCATTTCACATAAGCAGAAAACATATTTATATATAATAATCAGTCATATTATATATTGCTGTTTTTGCACATTTAGCTAGGCTACTGAATGAAGTCCATTGCTGCAAAGTTGATTTATAGAAAATGTATTAAATTCGTGGTTAAATGCTGTTTTCTAGTTCAGGGAAAAGGTGATTTTACCAGTTTCAAATCAAAGTAAACCAATCCGATACTAGTTCTTCTGCTCTTCCCGTTTCTTGGCCCATAAGCAAAGAAGATCATGTCACATCTAGGCCAGACATGCTATAATGAATCACATGCAAGCCAGGCAGTTATATTTATAAGATTATCAGTTTTGTTTACATTGTGACGTGAATCAGGCTCTGCATAAAGCAACCAGCAGCAACTGCCGTACAGAAGGAGGAGGAGAACCACATGAACACATTAATAATTGTTGATATACTGCAGAAAGGTAGGTGGACTTCTTAATGATAATAGTAATCACTTATGATGTTGATGTTAGGATGTTATGAAATCTAAGATGTAAGGGAACTTTTGTAGGGAACTTTAGTAAGGGCTTTTTTTTTATGTTTTTTTTTTTTTTATGTTCATGAGAAAAAAAAAGTGTTATTAACCTAGTATTTTGAAGCTAATTTGTCTTGACAGTTAGAACTAGGCCTACATTATTTGAACGTTCTTCTGGGTTAAAATTTCTGAGCATTTTACTATCACAGGTGCAAAATGGCAGCAGCCATGGCTGTTTCAAGGACAGCAAATGAAGACGACTACAGTGCGTATGCACACATGTCTGAAGAACAGCTGCTACAGTTGGCTATTGAACGAAGTCTAGCTGATATAAATTTAACTCCATGGCAGAATCGACAACTGCATGCCCACACAGAGCCAGCTGTCCCTACACAACAACCACCATTTAACCCTAACTCAGCAAACCCACCCTGGTGATTTTTTTTTTGTCTTGTTATGCACAACTATGCTTCAAGTAAACAATCACATACAAAAATCACTTTTACGTCTCTATATAATGAAACTTTATTGCTGCCCTCCTTTCAGTGAGATCACGTGTACACAAATCAACAGAGATGTTCAAGATCATTTCTTCAGTAAGGACAAAGGCAAGGTGATTGCCTGGACAAGGCACAATGAACACCTGCTGGTCACAGTGGAGAATGTGAAGTGAGTGGCAGGAAATATATCATTCAATTTGTGTGTGTGCTGTTGTTCCGATTAGCAGCGACAATTCAATTATCAGGTTAATATTGAGTAACGGTCCTTATCATCCGATCATTTGATTTCCAATCAGTGGCGGTTCTAGACCATTTCAACTGGGGGGGCCAAGCTGGGGCCAGTTGTACTGTTAGAGGGGCCAGTTACATTTAGACCTTATTGTTGTCATATCATTTTCTGCACTGCACTGCAGGCATAAACAGGCAAAATACCATGTTTATAATCATCCAACAATGTATTTGGATTTCCATTATATTTTTACATTTGCATTACATATCCAGTATTAGTCACAGTAACTGTAATTGCATTTCGATTATATTTTTACATTTGCATTACATATTCAGTATCAGTCAGTAACTTTGCATTTCCATTATATTTTTTTACATTTGCATTACATATTCAGTATCAGTCACATTAACTGTATTCCACGATTTTTAGAGGATAATTCCACGAATTATCCTTTAACCTGGCCTTTTTTGGGGGGGCTTTCCTCTCAGGGTGAATGAGAGGATGCATAATTGCTTTTTACCAGACATCTTTGACAGATGCAATGATTAATGCATCCATGGCCAGGATATAATTATAAAATATGAAATGATTTTAAAAGTGACCTATAACATCGACTATGCAATACTCTTTAATTTAGTGCTAATAAAATTATTATTTGGAGAGAGAGATGTTTATAATGTGACAATATGTCAGTCATCGTGTGATAACGAAAATATGACTAGACCTAAACTACTTGTTCTGAGGAAGTGTTGTCTTTGAACAGGCTGTAAAACTGTTGGCCAAGTTACAGACACTCAATGATGAAAAACTGATGCTAATTATCTGGGAAACATTCTCTAACAGCAGTCAAATTATCATTGTTTGTGTCCAACAAGTTGTGAATTTGTTGTAACATTAAAACAGGAGATCATGACTCTGTTCTCAAAGTGATGCTCGAAGCTCCAGTGCTTTCCTGGGTGAACGAAACCTTCGGAAGATGTTGTAGCAGAATCACGTGAACAATTCCAGGATATGCTTTTTTGTCATTGGTTGTTGCGTTAAATCTTACCCAGATACAATAGTGCTATTTTCTGATTGGCTAGCACCAATTGTGTAGCACCTTTATTTATTTTTTGATTGGCTGATAAATGGCAAGGTCAACTGCAGAACTCCAGGAGAGACGCGCTTGATTCCTGTCGGTTCCATAGTGAGAGCGGTGCGGCCAGAGAAATTGCGGTATATTAAATATAGTTCTCTTACGAGAGGTTCTCTCGTATTGCGTAAGCTAGCTTACGCTACGGGAAAGATTAATCTTTTCTGAGAAATTGAAGCCAAAAAATTATCCTATAATTTTGTATCCATTGTCAACGCAGTTCAGCTGCAGCAGACCATGAGCGGGCTAGCTAGCAGCTCATTGGTTGGCTCACAGAGAACTGCTTAAGCCTATGAGGAGACACGAATGAACTCTCGGCCAATGAGAGTCTGACATGCTCTCATTGCGTCAGAGCCCGCCGAAACGGGCGTGGTCAGAGAGTATAAATTCGCCTCTCAGGCTGTAAACACTGATTTTCATCTCTTCAGCGAGGCTACAAGCATCTGCTGATCCTGAGAGAAGCCGCCGTCGTCGAAAAGGCAACTCTAGCGAGCATCTGGGAGACTGAGGAAGCCGGCCGTCTTCGCCACCTTCAGCCGTCCTGCGAGCTAGCGCCATCCGACGGATTTGTATCCTTTTTACGATAAAGCTTCCTGTATTGTATTGTATCTAAAAGAGCCGAGCGTCTTTGTAAAGATGTCTCGTAAATCTTCCTGCGGTTCTTGCCGCGCTCCCCTCGAGACTGGAGACCGCCACGTCATCTGCGCTCTCTGCCTCGGATTGGAGCACGCCGAGCTCGCCCTCGCCGATGGCGGCTGCGTTCTCTGGAGGAGATGCCGTTGTCGACCCTGCGGGCTCGACTTCAGGCCACTAAAGTTGCTTCCGCGCCGCCTCTGACTTCGCCACGGAAGATGAAACGCCGCTCTCAGAGGCCGCCGGAACCCCAGCTAGAAGCGTTCATCCCGCCGGAGCCTGTCGTCTCCCGCTCTCCTTCTCCGCCGCTTCCGGACGTACAGTTGCCGCCGAGTTGCCACTCTGTCGCCTCCGATGACGCCGCGGACATCAAGGAAACCTGTTCGCTTCTCGCTTCAGACAGTGAGGAATGGTCCGGTTCTCACGCCTCCTCGGCCCGAGAATCCTCTGGGACCCGCGCTGGAATCGAGGAGGAATTAGTGCGCCTCCTCTCACAGGCCGTCGAACGCCTCGGGCTCGATTGGTCTCCTCCCCCCGAGCAGACCATCAACCGTATGGACGGTAGCTACTTCCGCCAGCGCTCGACTCCCGTCACTAAACGGGCCGCGCCCTTCCTGCCTGAACTGCACGCGGAACTCACGAAGTCCTGGAATGCCCCGCTCTCTGCCAGAACTCGCTCTGACTCTTCCGCCCCGCTTCGCGTTGTGGACGGAGCCGCAGAAAAGAGCTATCTCTCCATTCCCCCTGTAGAGGACCTGGTCGCCGCACATTTATGCCCGCCTTCCACGAGATGGCGCTCATCACCTGTGCTTCCCTCTAAAGCCTGCAGAGCGACTTCGAGCTTTCACGCCCGCGCTTACTCAGCCGCCGGCCAAGCAGCCTCTGCACTCCACTCCATGTCCGTCCTTCAGATTCTACAGGGCGATTTACTTCGTGAATAGGACGAGAGCGGTAAAAATCCCCCCTCAGTCGCGGATTTGAGGAGCGCCACGGACATTGCCCTTCGCGCTACAAAATCTGCTGCTCAAGCCCTGGGGAAATGCATGGCCGCCATTTGTGTGTCTGAAAGACATTTGTGGCTCACACTCGCCGACATGGGAGATTCTGAGCGTGCCGCCTTTCTCAACGACCCGCTCTCTCCATCCGGCCTCTGCGGATCTGCTGTCACGGGTATCGTTGACCGTTTCTCCGAAGTGCAGAAAGCCTCCCAGGCCATGAATCTTTTTCTGCCTCGTCGCGCTAGCTCCTCTGCAGGCCGCTCTCGTGACCAGCCTCCTGCACGAGCCCCACCCCAGCGCCCAGCTCAGCACAGTCAGACTTCTCAGCGACGCCAGGGCGGCCGCCCTCGTTCTCGCTCTGACAGCCGCCACAGACCGCCGCCTCCCCGGGGGCCTCGGCCCAGAATCACGCTGAAACCTGATCACTCGAAGTCTGCCTAGCACAGCTGAGGAAAAGACGGCTCTCTCCCGCCGCGGCCGGACCGTCGTCAAAGTTTCGCCCTCTGTTAGTCCCCGCTCACGCGGCTACTACAGCAGTGTACCCCGCCATTACCAAGCCGGTCCCCTTTCCCGCTTGCATGAGCACAAACGCCGTTTTCACGGCGACCCAGAGAAATCTCAAAAAGAGCATAAAAGCCTCACGTGTAGAAAATGTGCCCACAACACTGTGTTCACTCATACACAAAAGCATTTCAGTTCCCGTGTGTCTCACAGAGCCCACTCTCATAAAGCGGTTCCAACCCGCTCGAGTTTCAGAGTGCATAAGCGCGCCCACGAGCCCGTGTGTGCGTCCCACCTCTGCTCACTCTGTTACACGGCCCTTAAGCTCCTCTCTGAGTGTAAGTACCGCTGTCATAAACACTATGAGCGCGCCCGCGCAGCCCGCTATGTGCAACAACGGGGACCATGTAGCCATTCACCCCTTAGCGTTACGCTTCAAAGCGTGGGAAGCTATTCCGGGAATTTCCCAGTGGGTGCTAAACACAATAAGGCTAGGCTATCGCTTACAGTTTCACCGCCGCCCTCCACGTTTCCGAGCGCGGCTAGAAACTATTGTGAACCCAGAAGCAGTGACTCTGCTCCGTTCAGAGATAGCAAAACTATTGTGCAAAAGGGCTATAGAGAGAGTTCCTCTATCTATGAGCGAGTCGGGGTTTTACGGCCGTTATTTTCTGGTTCCAAAGAAAGACGGCGGCCTCAGACCAATCTTAGACCTCAGATTTCTGAACAAAGTTCTCATGAAGAGACCGTTCAAAATGCTCACTATCAGAAAACTCCTCGCTAGCGTGCGCCAGGGGGACTGGTTCATTTCACTAGATCTGAAAGATGCTTACTTTCAGATTCAGATAAATCCCCTTCACAGGCCATTCTTACGTTTCGCCTTCGAAGGCCAGGTTTATCAATACACCGTCCTTCCGTTCGGCCTATCCCTAGCACCCCGCACGTTCACGAAGTGCATGGATGCGGCGCTCGCCCCCCTGCGGAGTCAGGGGCTGCGAATACTGAACTATTTGGACGACTGGCTGATTTTGGCACGATCACAGAGAGAGCTACTGTCTCATCGTACAGTTCTCCTCGACCATCTGAAAGCTTTGGGCCTCTCTGTCAACTGGACAAAGAGCGCACTACAACCCAGTCAGACTATCTCCTTCTTGGGTATAGAGCTAGACTTGGTCACGATGACGGCTCGTCTGTCAACACAGCGCGCGCGCCGTGTTCAGCGTCTTGCCGCATCTTTTCAGATGAACAGACTCACACCTCTGAAAACCTTTCAGAAGGCGTTGGGTTACATGGCCTCAGCCTCCGCGGTGCTCCAGCTGGGGTTACTGCGCATGCGCCCGCTTCAGCTCTGGTTGAAGAGCCGTGTGTCTCACCGCGCGTGGACCACGGGCCGCCAGCTGATAAAGGTAACGCAGACCTGTATCACAGCTCTGCAGCCATGGACCGTGGCAGAATGGTTTCAGCGGGGCGTTTCCATGGGGACCTTTTCTCGCCGGAAGGTCATCTCAACAGACGCATCCAACACGGGTCGGGGTGCGGTCTGCGAGGGCTCACCAGCCTTCGGCCCCTGGTCAGCTCAGGAGAGTCTCCTCCACATAAACTGTTTGGAGATGCTGGCGGTCGAGAACGCGCTCACGCGCTTTCTTCCGTGCATTCACGGTCACCACGTGCTGGTCCGTTCGGACAATATAGCCGTGGTCTCCTATCTAAACCGTCAGGGCGGAGTCAGATCCAGGAATCTCTTCCAGCTGACAGAACGCATCTTAGTTTGGTCTCAGTGTCACCTGCTCTCGCTCAGAGCGACGCACGTGCCGGGTCATCTGAACGACGGTCCAGACAGTCTGTCCAGGAACCCCATTCCCCCCGGGGAATGGTCCCTGCACACTCTTACAGTCCAAAAGCTGTGGCGAAATATTCGGCAGAGCAGAGGTGGACCTCTTCGCCTCAGAAGAGAACACCCACTGCCCAATATTTTTCTCAAAGAGCGAGGACGCGCTTGCCCAGACCTGGCCCAGCCGCCCGCTTTATGCATTCCCTCTGGTTTCTCTGCTACCACAGGTGCTTCAGAGAATCAGGGAAACACGCCACTCGGTGCTCCTCATAGCCCCGCGTTGGGAGGGTCAGACTTGGTTTCTGGAGCTCCCTCAGCTGTCACAGACAGCCCCGTGGCCCATTCCAGTCAGAGCAGATCTCCTCTCCCAAGCTCGCGGCACAATCTGGCATACCCACCCAGAGCGCTGGGCGCTACATACGTGGGTGATCAACGACTACCCGTCGCTTTGCCAGAGGGAGTGTTAAACACGATCACGCAGGCTAGGGCGGCTTCTACTAGAAGGCTCTATGCGTCTAAATGGTCTGTGTTCTCTAAATGGTGCACCGACAGAAATTTGGACCCACGGTCATGCAAGGTCCCTTCCTTGCTAGTTTTTCTCCAAGAGATGTTGGACAAGGGCAGGTCCCCGTCCACTCTCAAGGTGTATGTGGCAGCCGTCGCAGCGTTCGTTGAACCCCGGCGCGGCCAGTCACTGGGCAAAGATGGCTTGGTCATCCGCTTCCTCAGGGGAGCTAGAAGGATGAACCCCCCGCGCCCCCCTTCGATGCCAATTTGGGACCTTTCCATAGTTCTCGAAGCTATGAAAGCCCCCCCCATTCGAACCGCTAAACACCGTGGACCTCAAATACCTTTCGCTCAAAACCGTTTTTCTGCTCGCGCTCGCGTCAGTAAAACGTGTGGGAGACCTTCACGCGCTGTCCAGTAGCGCTTCCTGTCTCGAGTTTGGGCCCAATGACTCCTTAGTCGTTCTCAAACCTAGACATGGTTATGTCCCAAAAGCGATTGGTACCCCGTTCAGGGCACAAGTTATTTCCCTATCGGCTCTGCCTGCTTCCGATAGCGAATCTGACTCTAATCTCCTGTGTCCGGTCAGGGCCCTGAGATTATACATTACTCGCACTGCTCCGGTCAGACGATCTGAGCAGCTTTTTGTTTCGTTCGGTGGGCGCACCAAAGGGTTGGCCGCCTCGAAACAGACTCTATCCAGATGGATAGTTGATGCCATTGCAGCCGCATACGCATCAAAAGACCTGCCATGCCCTCTGGGCATCAGGGCTCATTCCACTAGAGGCATGGCCTCATCGTGGGCATGGTCCAGCGGAATTTCCATTCATGACATTTGTGTGGCAGCGGGATGGGCTTCCCCCTCCACCATTTTACAATCTGGAAGTTCCCGCCTTGCAGGCTAAACTACTAGCAGTCTAGTAGGTTACAGCTCTTCTGGTTGAGCTGCACTATAGGGAGTTATTCACTCAGACCGGTTTCGCTCTGTCCCTCTCTATCATGTGCTTATGTACTACACAATCTCCGGCCGCTCCGCTGGCCTTTGTCACATGTACATATATTTATTCCCACTCATAAGGGTTCCCCGGGGTCTCCCCTGGGACTCATAGTGGATGCTTAGTACGCACGGCGTTGACCAGGTGTTCCCGTAGCGTAAGCTAGCTTACGCAATACGAGAGAACCTCTCGTAAGAGAACGAATCGGTTACCTAACGTAACCTCGGTTCTCTCTAGATGAGGGAACGAGTATTGCGTTCCTGGCCGTGCTTGTGCTACTAGCGTTCTCGCTTCATTCTATGAAAACCAGTGTTTACAGCCTGAGAGGCGAATTTATACTCTCTGACCACGCCCGTTTCGGCGGGCTCTGACGCAATGAGAGCATGTCAGACTCTCATTGGCCGAGAGTTCATTCGCGTCTCCTCATAGGCTTAAGCAGTTCTCTGTGAGCGAACCAATGAGCTGCTAGCTAGCCCGCTCATGGTCTGCTGCAGCTGAACTGCGTTGACAATGGATACAAAATTATAGGATAATTTTTTGGCTTCAATTTCTCAGAAAAGATTAATCTTTCCCGTAGCGTAAGCTAGCTTACGCAATACTCGTTCCCTCATCTAGAGAGAACCGAGGTTACGTTAGGTAACCGATTCGTTTTTCCGCATGAGAAATACAATGTGTGGCGGGAGTGCGTGACAAAAGACCGAAATGAGTGACTGAAAAATGATTTCACACTCCACATTTAGGAGGCCCACAAGGGGGTCCAAGCTTGTTGTCAAGACGCCCCATTCCGCTGATTGGTCAAGTAAATCTGAGCATGTGACGTCATCAGTCGTTGCTCAGGTCTGTTCAACAAAATAATAGTCCTCAACGGTAATCTACCCATTAAGGATGTAATTTGTCTTTTTGAAAACCCAAACAAATCTTTAGAATCTACTGGTAACTTCCTTATCCTTGTGGCAAACTTTTACTTTCACAAACAAAGGTTTCTTAAGAAAATTCCTACTTTTAAAGATTTCTTATGTGAAGCAAAATATTTAATCAAATCACTAAGAATAATTGATAATAGAAAATGTACTTCTTTTTTAAAGAAATATAGAGATAGTTTATGTACCATGATTAATATCTGTTTGCTGTTTCTTTTTTTAAGTTCTTTTTTTAAATTGAGTTGGCCAACTTAATTTTGGAAAATTTTAGTTCTAAATATTAATTATTGAGTTCGGCCAACTTAATTTTGGAAAATTTCAATTGAGTTGGGCCAACTCAATTTTGGAAAATTTAAATTCTAAATATTAATTATTGAGTTGGGCCAACTTAATTTTGGAAAATTTAAATTCTAAATATTAATTATTGAGTTGGATCAACTTAGTTTTGAACAATTTAAATTGAGTTGGGCCAACTCAATTTTGGAAATTTTTAATTCTAAATATTAATTATTGAGTTGAGCCAACTTAATTTTGAACAATTTGAATTGAGTTGGGCCAACTTAATTTTAGAAAATTTAAATTCTATATATTATTTATTGAGTTGGGCCAAGTTTGTTTTGAACAATTTAAATTGAGTTGGGCCAACTCAATTTTAGAAAATTTAAATTCTAAATATTAATTATTGAGTTGAGACAACTTAATTTTGAACTGTTTAAATTGAGTTGGGCCAACTTAATTTTTGAAAATTTAAATTCTAAATATTAATTATTGAGTTGGGCCAACTTAATTTTGGAAAATTTAAATTCTATTTTTAATTTTTTTTTAAATGAATAAAGGTGCCGTTTTCTCATTTCTGCTTATTTCATTTCAAATTGGAAATCAAATGATCGGATGATACACTGACCAGTAACTTACATTTCAGACGCAATTTTTCCCAATCATTTGTTCATCTTTTCTCTTCCAAAATGCATAAATGAATGACACACTGTAATGTTTCCTTCATGAATTAATCATTGTTTTTGAACGAATTGTTTGAATGAATGACTCACTTGTCGCCACCTACTGGCGTAACGGTGTAACTTACGAAAATAGGTCAATAGTGAAAAGCAATATCAAGCAATAACAGTCCTATTCTTAAGATTCTTTTATTTGTTCTTTCAGTGATATAGACCCTTTTCTCTCAGCCATTTGGAGAGGAGATGCAATGACTCTACAAGAAATCATTCATTCCAAATCTAAAAATCTCAATGAACCCAATCAAGACGGCTGGATACCGCTTCATGAGTCTGCATACTATGGCCATATTGAGTGCCTTAAGATTTTGCTCAAAGGTGATGAATGAATCAGTTCAGATTCATGTCCAGTCCAGAATCTCATTCTTCAAAATCACAGTTGTATCCCATCTCTCCCACAGCCAGACCAGATACAATCAACAAACGAACAAACACAAGTCAGACACCGCTCCTTTTGGCAGTGGGTCGCAAACATGTTTCTTGTGTATTGCACCTCTTAGAGCAAGGAGCCGATCCTAACATTGCAAATAACCAGTGGGAGACACCACTGTACAAAGGTAAACATATTTTTAGCATGATTTCTCTCAACAACTGCACAAATGACCAGAAAGAGGTCTGAACCATCACTGTTGTTTTTTTACAGCATGTGAGAAACCTAATGAAGAGATTGTGGAGCTTCTTTTGAGATTTGGAGCTTCACCATCCAAAGCCTGTATTCAAGGTGGCACTCCACTACATGAAGCAGTGAGGAACAAGCAGTTAGAGATTTGTAAGATATTGATACAAGCAGGGGCAAAGCTTTTGGCCAAAAATGTTTATGGCATTGACAGCCTGTTTACAGCTGCTCAGTGTGATGCTGTCGACGTGCTTAACTTCCTAATTTGTAAAGGTAAGAATTTTTGTAAGGTAAGACAAGAGAAAAAATCTATTACTTACTTTAATCTATTACCATTAACCAAGTTACCTATTCTTTAGGAGGTAATATTAATACCCAGGCAAATGATGATGCAACCGCATTGTTTGAGGCTTCTAAGAATGGTCATGATGAAGTTGTTGAGATCCTCTTGAAGAAAAGAGCTGATGTTAACAAAGCCAACAAAGCTGGATTACTTCCTATTCATGTTGCAGCAAAGAATGGTCATGAGAGGTTAGTAGGCCTACTATACTATAAGTACATCCCATATTTATCTTTATTACACAGCTCTTGAGATTACGTAAATTTGATTGGTTCTGATTGAAAGCTCGAAATCTGATTGAAATCTGATTGGTGGTGCTTTCTTTGCAGAATCATGTTTTTCTAGTTTTTCACCAGGAATTCCACTGCTGAACATGGCTGTTTGACAAAAATAAGTTGAAATAATGTGAACTGATCGCTTTAACAAAAGCATATACCATTGATAGAAAACAAAACAAAAGTGTATACCATTGAAGCATATACCATTGAGCCTTGGAGCTCATAGTAGGTCTGTCTTTCAAAATGTATAATTCTCCATTAAAAATCTAAATTCCCCTATATGGAGAAAATGAATGGGATTTTTACTTCTGGAACCCGACTGCACTCCATAGTAACGGGCTTCCATACTATAGTGTACTCACCATTGTCCGCGGCAATATATAAGTCCACTCATCAGTAACTGGCTCTACTTTCATGTCTCTCCTATCACACCACAGACTCATGCTCATTTCATGCAAACGTAACTGGCATCTCAGTTATTGATTATGTTGAAAATGACCGTGAAGAATTTTATTCATGAAGAAATGAATATCTCTCTTTCTCATCTTCCTCAGCATTGTTGCCATACTAATCCCAAGAACTAACATGGCCAAAGTGAAATACTCCGGCATTAGTCCTCTTCATTTTGCCGCTGAACGTAACAGAGATGATGTTCTAGAAACGTTGATTGAGGGTGGATATGACGTCAATGCCACGCTGTCAGATGACTGGTCAAAAATGCATGAAGATCGTCGCATCACGGCTCTGTACTCGGCTGTGGCAAACAGGAACATTGAGGCAGCTACGATGCTGTTAGAAGCAGGTGCTAACCCCAACCTGGACATTTTCAACACCCTGCTAGTGGCTGTGAGGAAAGGAAGTATGGAAATGGTGACCTTACTGGTACAGCATGGTGCTAATGTCAATGCCCTACTGCCAACTCATCCCACCAACTTCCCAGCGGTTTTGGCTTTCTGTGTGAGGCACACGTTGATGATGAAGTATCTACTGGACAATGGCTGCGATGCACTATCATGTTTTAACTGTCAATATGGCAGTAATCCTCATCCCCCCATAAAACTAAGACGGAATGGACATGAAAGAATATATTGTTTGAATGACGAACCATCAGAATACTGTGTACAGGTACAGATTTTTTTATGAGATGATTTTGCTGTATTTAAAAAAAAAATGTTTTACACATTTTTAAAACATTTAGAATAAAACTGTCTGTAAATTTATATAATTGTTTCATAATATTTTATAAAATAAAAATATATAGTAAATAAAATATAGAATTTAATCTTATTATTATATTTATTACACTCTATAATAGTATAATTTTACTATTTTCTGTCAAATCAAATTAATTTTATTTGAATTTTTTTTACAGTTTTGTGAGATAATCTCTCCTCCCTCAGTCAGCGAATTGGCGGGACCCATCATAAACACGTTGCTTGACTATGTGGGTCATGTTAAACTCTGCTCTAGAATAACTGAGTACCTAGACAGCTACAAAGAATGGGCCCGTATTAAAGAAAAATCAGGTAAGAAATTATTTCTAATCTCTTCATTTGCAGAACCTAAAATTATTGATGTGCAGTTGAATAGATTTTTCTAATAATTGGAACTAAAAATGAAAAACTGAAACCTCTCAATTTCAGTTCTTCCTTGCACACTGATGCATCTGTGCAGACTCAAGATTCGTCAGCGAATGGGAATCCCCAGACTGAGGCGAATCAATTCTCTTCCTCTACCAGGGAGACTAATCAAGTTTTTGGGTTATGAATTAGAATCATTTGAGGAAATCCTGTGATGAACGTCATGCCAATCTGAATTGTTTACAGAATTTGCTGATTTGAATTCTTTTGTTACAGACATAGGGTAATCACAGATTTAAAAACTTGAGATCTGAAAATAGACACCATTTAGCATAATTACTTTGTTAGTACTGAATTCTCAATACATGTTTGTACATGTAAATAGAATAATATTAAAATGTACATAGTATACATACAGTACAAAAAGTAAGAACTAGCACACAAGCAAAAGCAGTATATGAAGGGATGGCTTTCTAGCAATATGTAATTTTATTTATGTGTGCATAACCAAATTTACTTGCACCCTAAGGCTTTTTATAATGTGACTATAAGTGGATATTCCTGGTCTTTAATCTGCTGTAAACACAATGAAATATTATGTGATGTTTTCTTATTCTGCTTTAATATCATGAAGATGCACTGTACACGGTTTAGGTATTGTACATTTTGTTTAGTAAATTAGTTAACATTGATGTAACCTGTCATATTATAGAGCTTTGTGTAACTCGGCAGTATTCCTGTAAGTTTGTGGTGTTCCCTTTCAATATTGGTCTCTCGACATTGCGTCAGAACTGACGCTATGGGGAAACACATTTCTCCAAGAAATACTGAAGCCTGATTGGAACAACGCTGTTGCATTGCAATGGCCAATGGCGTTCCAGAGCACGAATCAGGGGTGGGATCACTCCCTATATGGTGGCGCAGAATGACATCTCCTTAGAATCATTCTCCTTCACACAACGCAAGTCAGAAGCCTTTCTTTTTCGCCGTCAAATCATTGATTCAAGTGGATGACCCTTCTTCACCGCTCCCTATTCAGCATTTCAGTGAGAACTCAAAAAGATTTGCAACGCCTGTGTGGGATCCATCGAGCTCCCGGGCGGACATGAGCTGCCGTATACAAACAGCCGAGCATGCAACCTCAGCCTCCATGGGATCATGATGCATTACTGTATAAAAACTAAGCCACTCTTTTCAGTAATGTATTGTAGTGCTGTCTATACTAACCGGCCAGCACTCCCACCACTCAATGACTTCATATGGTATACATTGACTGTGCCGCTGTATTGATTAGGACGTGTAGTGTTGCTTACATTCCCATTATGTATGCTGGTGCTGCTTTTTATGATCAATCCCCGGCTGTACCGCTGCTTTTATAAGGTGAATGGTGTTGTTTACACTAATCACTATATAGGTCAGTGTTGCCGCCGTTCATTGCCTTGCTATGATAATCACCAGCTGTGCTGCTGTTCTCATGAGAGGGTATTGTGATGCTTGCGCTATCTGCTATAGCCTATATGTCGGCACTGCCGCCATTCATAATGTTTCTATAAAGCACCTGCTGTGTCGCTGCTGCCATAAGGGACTGTACCAATGTTCCCTCCAAGCTGTACAGTTTGTAAATCAATATTACTTTTAATTATAGGATATCAGCGACTAAAAGTCTAAAAACAGCATGTAATTATATACTGACAAAAAATATTATACATATGGCAATGATTCTTGAAATTCTACATCAGACATGAGCTGCAGTCCAGGTGGAGTTGCAGGCTGCGGAGAATGCAGGTGGCGATTGAGAACGTCATATCTTGCTGAGATGAGGGAGGTCGACAAAGTGCACTTTCTCGACAGCCCCATCTTGCAGGGTGGCCTCTTCAGCAACAATGTCAAGGACTTTGCACAGCAGTTCTCGGCAGTAAAGAAGCAGGCCAAGGCGATTAAACACATCTTGCCTCGGCACAATGACCGCTGAGGTCACGCTCGTTGTCTGCTCATTGCAGAGGGCATGATGAATTCACCCTAGGCTGGAAGAGTGTGTACAGACACACATGGAAATGGAAAGTGACAGAATGAAACCGGAAACAGAAACAGGGAATGAAGCTATGGACAAAAGTAATTTAACCATAAAAGAACCAATAGTCTCTGATTTCAAAACACCTCATTAAGAGATTTTACTGCTTATCCCAAACCTCTGTTTAGTTCAAATTTTCGATACTTGAATTGCCTTTGCAGTTGAAGCAGTCTGATGTTCGGAAGAGGGTCTTGATGATTCCGTGAGTTACGGAATAACTTGTGTGGTTAGTTTGATTCTGTTATAGTTGGGAGAGAGTTCTCTCTCTCTCTCTCCTGAGTATAAGCACATGGTTGGTTGTAGATTGAGGCCTGCCGGCACGCTGGAGAGGCCACGCAGAACAGCACAAAGAAGATGCAGAGAAGAGGGAAGAGAGTGGGCGGTCACTCTGACAGGCCCTTTTAACTCTGTGTGGAGGTCCTACTTTCATGGGTCAGTTAGCCAATGTTAGCCTAAGCTTTCGGAAGGGAACGTTTTACAATCCTTTGCCTTAAGCAGATCATTTGCATATGTTACTGGATTGGGTGCTGATGAAGAAACTATTAAAGATTCTTCAAATACTAATATGTTGCTTAGGTTTCAACATATAGGGCCCTATCTTGCACTCGGCGCAAATGACTTTGTACACTGACGCATGTATCATTCCTATTTTCCACCCGCGCAAAGCGGACTTTTCCCTCCACAGACGCACGTCGGTTAACTAAGAAATACACTTGCGCTCCCCGGGGCGGTTCAGCGCAAAGAGGAGGCGTGTTCCGGCGCAAACTTTCCCTCATGCTATTTTGCTGTTCTATAAAACAATTGCGCCACTGACCAGAAAAAAACTAGTCTAAAGTCAGTGGCGCGTTGCGCGTTGTTCATTATGCTATTTTAAGGGCGCATGCTTGGCCATAATCAAGCGCATACACGTTGATTCTCTCATCTAAGCAGCAGTTTTCATTTTTGCAAATCATACATTATTACGATAGATAGATAGATAGATAGATAGATAGATAGATAGATAGATAGATAGATAGATAGATAGATAGATAGATAGATAGATAGACAATTTATTATAAAAGCATGTAGCTTACACATTTACCCAAATTATCATACGCCTGTTTAACAGAAGTTAATTTGGGTGGGTTTCTCCATCCCCAATGTCACTTCTCTGTGTTTTACGGCCCTGACGAGAACGTTGCTCTCCTCGGCTATGAACCGCTCCTGGCGCGCGCCTGGCAAATCCGCCGTTATAATAGGAATCCGCTTTAGAACAAGCGCGCCTGCTCTTAAAGGGAATGTGAGATGACGCTCTGATTGGTTTATTTCACGTTACGCCCAAACCACACCTATGAATAATGAAGCTACTTCAGACCAACCCCTTTTAGATTTGCGCCAGGCGCAAGAGGCATTTATCCCGCCGGGAAAATAGCAACAGCGCCGGGATCCGCCCACAAAGTTACTTGTGCTTTACGCTTTGACACTTGCGTTTCAGATCGTTAAAATAGGGCCCATAATATACATGATCACGTAGGTCTTTAAAATACAAATTCGCAGATACCAAACATGGTATAATGTGATCTTGAATAATCAAATAACACTCGTATGCATTCAGGGATTAATACATAGGCAAAACACTATAAAAGAATGATCATATAGTGAAATCATATACATGAATGTACATGTCTCGAGTGATTATTCGACTGAGTAGGAAAAGGGTACATTATTTAATAATTCTATCATAAGGCAGGCATGGAACAAAATGCAACACAAGAGATGATATACAGTAATAATAGATGCTGTCCTGGGGATATGCATGTTCATTTATAGAAAAATGTGTCTATAAACTTAATGCAGGAAAGTCTGTTTTGTTGTGTGGAAAGGTAAGACCCAAAAGCGAAATGCAGTAACAGTCTCTTTAATAAGAGAGAATTCAGTTCAACAGAAAAGTATCTTCAGAAAAAATAACAGAAAAGCAGCCGAAAATGCGGATGCTTCAATAACATAAATGAGTAAGTCTCTCCTTGACTGAAGATAGCTGCAAACAGTCTGAGAACAGGAACCGGCGGGCACTGTCCAATGATCTCTTAGAGAACAGGCAAAAAACGACTGGAGAGATGATTGCTCTGGGCGTTCGTCTGCAGCAGGCGGGCTGGACAGAATGTAGAGCAAAGGTTAGTTTCCAGCAAATAGAGACAGACCTGTGCCAGGCTGGATGATGATCGGACTCAGACAAGACAGGACTCGGACAGGACGGATACAGCAGGTTGAGAGAAGCCTCTTGCATGAGTAGAGTACGAAATAATCTGGCAAAGAAACAGGGACAAGGGAAAGCAAGAAGTAGCACAAACAATTAGAGGAAAGAGGTGTGAGAGAATGAGCGTGATGAGAGTGTAACTGGAAACAGCTGAGGGTGAGTGAAGGTGCGCAGGGGCGGACTGGCCATCTGTGTGATCTGGAGAATCACAGAACGGCCGGTACCCCAGGACGGCCGGCGGGCCGGCCCACCGGCCCACCACCCGCCACACACGCAGTCACAGACATCCCAAGTCTCCCGGAAGTTCCCCGCATATTTATAGCGGCTCACTGATGCCCGCAAATTAGTTAAAATCTCTCGGAATCTAGAGCGAATAAGAGTGCGCATGCGTAGCGCGCGCACGGCAGAGAGAGGGAGCGAGCTAGAGACCTTGCGTGTGTGTGTGCTAGTATGCGCGTGTGCCTCACGAAGCGCATGTAAGGACCCAACCAATCAAGTGCGGGCGGGCTTTTATCTCTACTACTGACGAACCGAATTAATCAGAAATTACTTTTGCAAGTTACTTGCTAGCGATGATGCATGTTAGGAAGTGATAGGCCTATTCAGCTTGCTACATTTTTAATGATTACAGTAGTTAAAACAGCTAAACTTCAACATTTTAGCTGTAGAATGCCACATGCAGTAGCTAATATTAAGAAATATGTTGTGCTTTTACTTTTAAAAATGTTGGTAACGTTACAGTTAATGCTTACAAACTTTGAAGATTTTGAATACAGAAGTTACATTTGTAATGGTGTAGCCTATTTTCATTTAGATGTGGTATTATTATTTGTGCAGTAGCTAAGATTAATTACTGCATAAATTAATTAAGATTATTAAGTAATAAATTCATTTTAAGACAGCATGGA